AATATCAATGACATAAAGAAGAGACAAACTAGATAAGCTTGTTTTAATTTTACATTTCCGAAGTAGTTACCTCTACACAGATTACAAGTAGAAAATCAGAACACGAAAGAGAACGCGAAGCACGCGGATGAATAATATGCATCGAGAGCGAAACGATAATTAAAAGTATGCACCACTTAATTTGGCGCCATGCCAAACGAGCATAGATCAAAATCAATTGAGCAAAAACACAGCAGGGAAAAAGAAGAAAGGACGAAAGAACGAGGTTTCTCTCTCGCAACGCGAATTGCAAGTCAAACAGCTAATTGCCAAATGGTCCACGAATGGTGCATACAGTCAGGAGAATATCGGACGGCGCCAGACAATTAGCTTAGTAAATTCCACGAAGAAGTTCTTCGCCAGGACACACGACGGAAGGAGCCGCGAAGAGAACGGGTGAGAGAGGAAGAGGGAAAGAGGGAGCAGGGACGCGACGCCGGCACGGCCGAGTTAACTTTAATTGCCCGCTTGGCTACATAATGAATGACACTGCAGACGCCGCGGCGAGAAATTATTTCGGCCTCGGCCTTCCCGCCCCAGCGAATTTCGCATACGAAAGTCTACGAGCGAACCACCCGTATATCGACGGACCCGCCAATTATTTTACGTCCAGGTGCACGATCCGTCACTCGTCCGTGTCACTCTCGACGCGTCAGGATAGTCCTTCCGGCACGATTTATCGCCGGAATCAAGCAGAGAGTGCCTTTAACGAAAGTCACGAAATAACGTCCGAGCGGCGGAGTCGCTTGACGCCGTTTCGACGAGAGCCCTCGACGTTTTGAGAGCAACATCTCTGCCTCGAAATGAGCTGTTTGCATACGAGGCAATAAACGAAGAAACATATTAGAAAGTAAGAAATATACACGGAGAAAATATTATAATAAAAATTATAATACAATTTTAATACTCCCTGGGAATAAATTTATACTATAATGAAAATTATAATAAGTAAAAGTAATTATGAACATAGTAAAAATTATGCAAATAGAAGCTAATAAAAGTTGAAGTCTTGAAGATATTTAATTATCTTATGGATAACACTCTCTAATATATGTGTGTGTGTGTGTGTGTGTGTTATTTTACTTATATGTTCTGAAACCGAGGCGAGGTCGGAAAATAAATTCGCACCGATATAAAATATTGATTGCGCCTTGATTTTTACATCTTACGTCGTACTCATTCCCTTTTTCCCCTCGGAGAGCAACCGGTTTTGCCGAAACACGGTTTTGCGAAATCAATCGGTGGATGTAATTTCATGATTCTTATTAGAGCATGCCTGGAATTAAGTTGCCACGGCGTTCTGTTTCCGGAGCACCCAACGCCGCCGCTCTCTCGTTCTTCATATTTTTCTTATTCACCGTAATTTTATTTATGGCAGTAGCGGCTGTGTATGCGTCACACTCGCCGATGTATCAGTGCGCATTTTCCCTGGTACTTTGCCGAGCGAGTTATTGCAACCGTCTTGAGGAACTCGCACCGCGTGAAAGACCGACTCTTCTCTCTGCTGCGTTTTTTACGACATATATAAATGGCCTCGTTCGATTATTGCTTGTACGCGGCGGGAAGTGTAGTGAAGCGCAGAACAGCTCCCATGCGTCGGAACTGCGTGAATTTTAAAAAAATTTCACGAATTATAAACTTCCCCATTCATTTGTGCAATAAAGGGCCAAACACGCTATTATCGAAACGCGAGCGCAAAATTTGTTCAATTGTTAAAAATACTATTGCACTCTTCCCTGCGAACGTCACTTTAGAATTTTGTTTTCCAACCTCTGCAACTTCTCGCGGGGACACTCGATATATACTCCTTATTACATGATATAATCTGATAAATCTACGCAATTACACAATTTTCCAAGTATTGCTTTTTGCTTTCGTGCAAGATTGCTCCTTTTAAACCCCTCGCCCCAGTCATAGACGAGGTGTTACACTGAGCGTGCTATACATACCGGTTTGTTACACGCACTACACGTTTTGCTCCGTCTTTGCGCGCTTACGCGCGCGGGGATCTCATTGTACAATCAAATTACTGTCTTACTCTCGTGCTTTTTACGTAACCGGAATGCGAACTGCCTGCATGCATGCGTGCGTGCGTGCGTGCGTGCGTTGAAATAAATCTGGTTCGCCAACGTGATCACCGCTCGTTATGGCCACTTTTTCACACGATTTCGCGCGGGGATGAGAAAGAGAGAAAGAGAGAGAGAGAGAGGCAAGGGCAATGCGAGGACGAGTATTTTACGACTGTGCGTTTTAGTGTTCTGAATAATTACATTTTCATTGAACACAATAATTCCTCATTAGCATTCGCGATGAATATTATTAGGGATGCTTTATTGGACGCTGGACACAATTCGCGTCACGGATGATGCAATATTCATAACACACACATTTATCATATAATATATATGTACAATAAAACCGCGCGCGATGAATCGCAATACATTTTGACCTCCGAGAAGCGCATGTATAGTTATGATAATTATTTTCTTTCTTCTTTTAATTTAAAATAGTAAGAGGATATCTCACGTGTACACTAGACTGATACTTGTGTAACAAAGGGATGCTTACATGAATGGATTTAGTATCGTTCGTTTAAAAATCAACATCAATCCTTTCTGAAGCTAATTTAAATTTTTGTAATAACCGAACACACACACACACGTATACACAATGCAATGCATGATTTCGAAAAGAAGCTAATGCTTCTTTTCAAAACGATTTTGGACGTTCAATTACAAAGCAACGCTTTATCCTTAATAATTTTTCACACGCTCATAATTCTTTTCGCTTCTCCTCCCTCTTTTTATCTATCCATCTATCTTTTCCTATCTTTAAATTGTTAAGAACAAAGGCGCAACTCGGCTTTTTCCGGAGTTGGCGTTTTCATCGGGCCGATCGTTCCACTTTCTCGCGGGTGCAAGTAGGATCCCGACTTCTCTCTTTTCCCTGTTCTTCCCGTTCATTCTCGCTCCGCTTTTGCGCCGTCCGCCTTTTTCCTTATCCCGCTCTCGGAACAAGGGACGCTTAAAGCACTTCCATAGAGAGACGACTAATTAGAGCGATTTAGCGTTCGTCGACGGCGTTTATTTGGAATGCAAATGTCGTCGTGAGACCGACCATCGTCGTCGTCCTCCTTCTCCTCTTCCTCCTTCTTCTCCTCCTCTTCCTTCTCTTCCTCCACCATCCTTCCCGCACTCGCCGCCACCCTCTGTGTCGTATCGCCGACTGATAAATGCCCGGAGGATTTTATCGTGACGCCAGTTACCGCGCCCTGTCCGAGGATGAAAGTTGAAAGGGCCGGGAGAGCATTTGCCATTTGTACTAAGCGATTGTCTTCGTACTTCTCCGTTCTCCTTCTCTTTCTCATTGCGAGTGTCAGGAGAGAGAAAGAGAGCATCGTTTATTATGCGCTCTTGGATAACTTCCTCTCTCAAGTGTTTAAAAAACATACAACAATAATATTAATTAAGCAATTATAATTACGAGTAACTAAAAAAGTGTTCAATAAAGCAAAGAAACAATATAAACTGATATACTATTAAAGGAAGACAGTACAAATATATTAACGCCTTGGAAAGCTCATAATAGCTTGAAATGAAAAACGTAAACATTGGAATGGAAATAGAAACACAAAAGAAAAGAGGAAAAAAACGAAGAAAATAAAACGTCGCTAATAAATGAGAGAATTATTCGTTCTCGCAACTTCGACTATTTGTCTGTTATCTTCTTTTTTCTCCTGTACACACTTCGTCGAAATAGCTTTAACATTTTTCCCACTAGAATTAATCGAAAAATATTAAAAGCTATTTCGGCGTAGTGTGTACGAATTTCATCTTCGCGAAAAGTCTCTTTCAAGCAGAAAATGAAGTTGAAATAGCTGCAATTTCATTACAATGATCGAGAGTCGATTATATCGCCAAGAGGATTTTCTGAACTGACTGCGGGCAGAATCTAAATAACGACATGTGACGAACACGGTTCGCACGTAAAATTCCGCATGCACAATTGCATTCTTTCACGACTTGCCCGTCCGTCGTCGTTTGCGAGCAGCATCGCTCGCGCGAAATTTCTCTTCCCGCGCGGGGCACTTTTGGCCGTAATTACTGCAACAAAAACAAGCCGAACATTTGGCGCACCTGCACGCCGTAAAACGCACATACACCACATCAGATAGTATTGCACCGAATGGATAATCCGAATTTACGTCGCGTAAAAATAAACGTTTTTAATTGACGTTACCGCATTTGCCGTTTTGTCGCGCTGGATACGAGCACTCGCGTCAAACGGAATACTCAGCTGTTAGATGCGCGGCGGGTGAAATGTTTCGACGAGCGCAAGAAACGTTTTGTTAATAATTAAAACCGCCATAAAAACCGCAGCAGCATTCGGGAAGGGGAGCATTAAATTGCCTGGCCGCGGCCGCGAATAAACGCCGCGCTCTTCAACTATCCGTATTAATTGATCAAATATACATAGTTATGCACGCGCTTTTCTTGCGCCCATCGCGCAACTTTGCCGGGAATGTTCCGCGGGTTCGTTAACCCCCGGCGGATTAATATCGTTTACCGTGTAATCCTTACACGGGAGACGAATTTTTTACTCTGGCAAACGATGCTCTCTCTTTCTTTCTCTCCCTCCCTCTCTCTCTTTCTCTCCCTCCCTCTCTCTCTTTCTCTCTTGAGTCTCTCGTCTCAACCTTTGCGAGCGTCACCGCTTAAGTTTCCGGCGCATTTCCTCCAAGCGGTTTCCTCATGATGACATGCACACATAGCGGCTAAAAATAAAAGATATATTTTAACAAACGACGATCTGTGTGCTGACTAACGATTCTCAGAGGAAAAGACCACCAGAGAGACTCTCACCTCGGAGGAGATCCTCGCGAATAATAACGCCCAACGTGCTCTCGACGTTAAAAGCAATGCGGCACCAATTAATATGGCTTTTTCTGTTTCTGATTTCAGAAAATATGTGTCTTCCAAAAGTCCCTCGAGGATCTCTCCTCGCGGATGGCCGGCGCCGAGGCGATTCAGAGCGGTTGGCAGAATCCAAGCGACGCCAACGAGGCGACGGAATTACTCGAGCAGTTGCAGAAATTCGGCGAGCGACTGGTACCTATCCAGAGGAACATCGAGGACGCGAACGACCAGGCGAGCATCTTCGCGTCGAGCAGCGTCATCGTTTCTCACGCTTTACTAGCGAAACTCGAAGATCTGAACACCAGGTATGGTTTGACGGCCGCGTAAAAATTTATCACGCGGTCTTAACCTCGCGCTCCCGAATAAAACTCGTACTCATTCACCCTCTCTCGCGCACGAAAAAATGCGGTCGTATATAAGGCGTGTCTCGAGACCGCGGTGTACTTAATTTTAATGACAGACTCTCGCGGAGCAATCCGGATCTCTCAAATGATACTTCCATGTATGATCCTTCCACTGAGAAAGTAGAGAAACGATAAGAACACGATCGCGAAAATATCAGCATGAGATATCCTTTTTACGAGCGTCTAAAGTTTCGAGACGTACGGAGTGCGTTTCTCTTTTCACCTCGAAAAGCTATTTTGTTTGTGTGCGGAGTATTCCCAGTATCACGACAAGTTGGGAATTGGAGCTTTGAATGCGAGACGCTAACTTTTTCTTGTGTTTTCGCAGGTGGAAGGTGCTGCAAGTCGCAGTTGACGAGCGTTACAAGTTGCTAAGCGGATTCGGGAAGGATGGCAGCACTCCGGGTAGTCAGGCTTTCCTCGCGAGCAGCGTAGAACCACCATGGGAGAGAGCCCTCACACCCGCCAAAGTGCCTTACTATATCAAGTAATCGATCCTCCTTGCATAGTCGCCTCAAATTTCCCAAACCGCCGCGGCACGGTTACTCAGAAGAAGAGCGAAAGCTCTCTTAAATTAACACTACCGAATCTATTTCCAAAAATAATACTAACTTAATTCGGATTTGCTCACTCGGATATACATGACATTCGTGTATAATTTTTTTCGACCTTATTGCTAAAAACGCGTTTTATTTAAAATCTAGAATAGAATCAACGTTTATATAATTCTTTTGTCTCGCGTAATTCATTTTTGTACAGTCAATTGAACAACCTTTGACTACAATCGACTTCTTGCAGCCATCATTTGGAGACTACGCATTGGGATCATCCAAAGATGATAGAGCTGATGTCTTCTCTCGCGGATCTAAACGAAGTTCGCTTTTCCGCGTACCGAACCGCCATGAAGCTGCGCACCGTACAAAAGCGACTCTGCCGTGAGTATCGGCGCGCTCTTGGTGATCAATCATACCTTTATCGCTGATTAGTCAGCATCGAGCGTTCATTAACTGTCACAATTTTCTCGATTAATCACGCGCATCTACGATACGCTACGTACATAATGCATTAATGTAACGTCCCGAAATTACAGTTTTCAGCGCATAATTGTACATATATTTATTTATTTATTTCGTCGTTTTAGTGGACATGTTGAGCCTCGCCACAGCGTTGGCACAGTTTGATTCACACGGGCTCCGGGCACAGAATGACAAACTGATCGACATCCCCGACATGGTAACAGTACTAACATCGCTATACGAAGGAATCGCAGCGGACAACCCGGCACAGGTGTCCGTGCCGCTATGCATTGACCTGGCTATCAATTGGCTGCTCAATGTATACGATAGGTACGCTAAGCGAATACATCTCTTACGAGAAGCAAACTTGCAGTATAACCCGTTTGCTCCTTGAACCCGTCTCAATGCACGTTTATTTATTTTCTTTATCAAATCTATCGGCTCAGTCAAAAAGTTCGGTTCGCTTTTTGTGTTAATTTCATTTTATTAGACATTTTCAGTTTTTTTCGCAATTTCAATGCAATATTCAAAAACGAAAACGGATTATTCATCAATCTCTGATTCTTCGTCAACGTTATGTTAGCATTCATACACTCTTTAACGTAGGAGATATCTATTGAAAATCAAACTGAGTTTTCTGACTGACTCGATATACATTAGATTTCTGTTTCTTTAAATCGTATTAGCTATCGACTGAAATCATATCTATTGTTATTGGGCTTGTCTCTCAAATATATTCCATAATAAAGACAATGATCGTTACTATCTATTTAACGATACTTGTACAACTTTGATATTTTCAGCCAACGAACCGGCCAAATCCGAGTGCTTTCGTTCAAAGTCGGGCTAGTCTTGCTGTGCAAGGGGCATTTGGAGGAAAAGTATAGATGTGAGTAACATGTGAAAAGATCCTACCTGCTAATAGTCTGTAATATATTTTGTACGTATACTTAATGATAGTTTTGCGTTATTTCCAGATCTTTTCCGTCTGATCGCGGATCCCAATAGGTTGGTGGATCAGCGCAAGCTGGGGCTACTATTGCACGACTGCATACAAGTGCCGAGACAATTGGGTGAAGTCGCGGCATTCGGAGGATCGAACATCGAGCCCAGCGTGCGCAGCTGCTTCGAGAAAGCAGGAAAGGATAAGAACGAGATAGAGGCGGTGCACTTTTTAAGCTGGCTGCAGCAGGAGCCGCAGAGCATGGTATGGTTGCCCGTGCTGCATAGACTATCCGCAGCGGAGACCGCAAAACATCAAGCCAAGTGCAACATATGCAAGGAATATCCTATCATTGGGTTCAGGTGAGCCACATGACTTTGACATTTATTTATACGGCGAATGAATTGATGATGCAATTACTGTCGGAGCGTACTGACGTGAAAATAATCTCACTCGCAGATACCGCTGCTTGAAATGTTTCAACTTTGACATGTGTCAAAATTGTTTCTTCTCGGGACGTAAGGCGAAGAATCATAAGCTGACTCATCCGATGCAAGAGTACTGCACGGCGGTAAGGCATTTATTTACTGGCTCTCCCGTTAAGTGTCATTCGAAAGAGGACGTTCGGTATATATATTAAATAATACTTGCCGCGCTTTGCAGACTACGTCTGGTGAGGACGTGCGCGACTTCACGCGAGCATTGCGCAACAAATTCAAGTCCAAACGATACTTCAAGAAACACCCCCGAGTTGGCTATTTGCCCGTGCAAACTGTCCTGGAGGGAGACGCGCTGGAGAGCCCCGCGCCTTCGCCCCAACACAGCTCGCTCAGTCAGGACATGCACTCGCGTCTGGAGATGTACGCCTCTCGACTCGCCGAGGTTGAACTGTCGCGTACAAGAAGCAACTCCACGCCGGACAGCGACGACGAGCACCAGCTGATAGCTCACTACTGTCAAAGCCTGAACGGCGGCGATAACGTTAACGTCCCGAGAAGTCCTGTCCAGGTCATGGCCGCGATCGATGCAGAGCAGAGAGAAGAGCTTGAGGCGATGATACGAGAACTCGAGGAGGAAAATGCGACGCTGCAAGCGGAATACGAGAGATTGCGCTCCAAGCAGACACCAGGCTCGACGCCGGAGGACGGTCATAGCACTAGGCAGCCCGACTGTGATATGATCGCGGAAGCTAAGCTGCTGAGACAGCACAAGGGGAGATTAGAGGCGCGTATGCAATTACTCGAGGACCATAATCGCCAATTGGAGGCACAGCTGCAAAGACTCAGACAACTTCTAGATGAGGTGCGTTAAGTAGAGGATGCGAATATCTTTATTTTATCCTGATACTCTTGATTCTGTAGCAATTGCAAAATAACTTATGAGATAGGTCAAGCTGATTATGTCTGAAATGTTCTTTCAGCCAAACGCGTCTTCTCCATCGAAGACTGGAACTTTGCAAACTCGAAGTGTAACGGCATCACAATTGGCGACCGATTCTCCGGCGAAGATGAACGGCCATTATCATGATTCTCCAGGTATATTGATCATATCTGAATCTTAATTGCGAGGAATAAATGAGCGACATATCTTGGATTATACAGTGGGGTTCTTTAATTTGGTGCTAATAATGCATTCAATCAGACTATATAATGACTGTCATACATATTCATTATAACTTACAAAAACCGGATGTAACGCCTTTCTGGTGGTGCTACACTAACTGCATATTAATACAGCGGGGACTCGGTAAGACTTTAATTGAATGGATTTATTAGAATTGTTTATTTTGAATAAATTTCCTCGCGCGTTTATAAATTCATTCCTAACATATATAACTTCATTATCCTCGAGATACAGCAAATGGAATTTGATAAATCGGTAAAATCGCGGAGTGTTGTCACATAAATTATTTCTCACCTGCGAATTACGAGGAGGGTCCCTACCGTATATACGTATACGTACATAATACATATTTAATTAAATGCACTGAACAATTAGATAAGCTTATCGCTGTTGGGTATATGGACATAGGTGGTGGGGGCTCAAACGAAGGCAGAGTCAGCAGTTTAGAGAGGCCACCACCGCCACCGCATTCTCACAGTGTCGCCCACAATGTGGGCAATCTCTTGCACATGGCAGGTTCGTTCTCAAATCTATACGTGAATTTGAACGTGTGTCAATTATGTAGCATAATCGATTCTCATGCCCTACCTCCGTAATGCACGTGTCACTTCTGCTTGAAATAACGAAATAACATTGCTTTCCTGTTTTTCACGCTACAGGATGGATGTAAGGTGAGACCACTATGCTTCTCTCTAGGTGCTTCTGAAATACGTCGAAATGTTTTATTGACCAACATCATCATCGACGACGCGTCGTCAATTACGCGTTAAAATTAACGCTGGAATCTATATCTTTATCGTGTATGGTCGTGTCCCTCTTTTTGACTTGTCCCACGCTTTTACCCTCTTATCTATGCACGTTCGAATAAGTACATGTCTCGATTGTGTAATACAGTATAAAGTTATGGATTAACAGCACGGATTTTAACAGAACGGATAATCTGGAGTCCAGGAGTAGCGGAGAGAAGATAGGCGAGAGTGGTAAAGCCCTTTTCTCTTGATTTCAGGCGATTTAGGGAAAGCTGTAGGCGAATTGGTGACGGTCATGACTGAGGACACATCGAAGACGAATGGACAACGAGCACCACCACCTGCTTTTAAATAACGACCGCGATGGCGTCTATAATAATCAATGTCATTAACAAGCGATGTTGATGAGCGTTGTAAGCAACGCTGGCAAGTCGACTAAATTCGACGGCGTTACACTCGATATCTGATACACGTTGTGAAGAACATTAATCATAATCATCGACCAATAACAAGTCTGGCTCTAACGCATATCAGAGACAAGTACATGGTATATCTACCGCGCAAATGCAGGGTCAGGGGACCCGTCCCACTGGTGGTTTTGGGTATTTTATAAGTTTTGATATACGTCGTTGTATAGCTGAATTATATCGAATAAGACGATTATGGTTTGGCTTACGGTGGTCCCCTGAGAGTAACTTTACTACATATTGACACGTCATATCATGAAACTAATCGTAATGAGAAATCAATTGTTATGCTTACTAGCTAAACTATACGAACAGATTAAAAGAAAAAAAGATATAATGAGTATAAAGGATACACGGAAGGAAAAATATCATTAACAATGCATGCAAAAGCAATGTATCAAATCACATAATCTATATAGGTCGTAGCTTATATTTACATACCCATTCTGTTCACTGCCACGGACTCTTCCTCGATGTAACTTACACAATGTACATGTTTGCGACTCTAGACGACACATAATGGGAAATAGACAAAAGTATATCCATACCTGACCCTTCTGTACCCGGCGCTCTTGGAGTTTACATCAATGAACACGGAACCTTTTATAATCGATGATAAAACAGAACGACGCGCATTACATCTTTCAAGTTTATTTTTTACCCAGTTACGTGATTTTTCATATTTTCTAAATGAATTTAAAAACGGCAATGTCTATTATATTTAAGCCTGCCGAATGTTACTATATCTAAGAGTATATGGATAAGTACCTAACTAACAAACTTGTAGGCTGTATTCTGATATGTAATAAAGTTGTCTAGAAAATACTTGATCGCGATATTATTGAAATGCGAGCTGCTCACCGTGGTTCTGTTATTAAGTAACCGGTCTGCAAACATACGTATACACATACGCATATATACATACACACACAACACACACACAATCAGTTATCTCGAGCGGATAACTTTTATATTCTAAACGAATTAAAAGCGCAGCACATATACATATATACATATATATATATATATATATATATATATATATATATATATATATATATATATATATATATACACATTTCTTTACGCATATCACAGATGCCATAAGTTGAATGCTATTGTGTCATTTCTGATGAGGATGCCGCTTGCGAAATGTAAAATACATATCTTCAAGAAAAAAAGAAAGAAATATCATATTTTACCAACTTGACGAGCATCGTGAATGAATACTACGAATTGTTATTCGCCGTCGTTAAGTCACGAGAAGATTAATTTCACCGGACAGAGTGTAAAACGATCGAATATACGTTTCTAAGCTCCAGTCTGTAGTTTGTTGAATGATTGTTGGTTTTGCGATTTCATACATTAATATAACGCATTAAAGTCTAGAGATATTAGTCATATAAAAATAAAAGTTATATACTGCGTACAACATCAAACAGGTAACTACGTTGCTTGTAATATATTGTAATATGACTGAAATGATATGGGGCAAAATGCTTAAATAAAAATAATACGATATATATAAGAAAAAAATCCTTAAATGTTCTTTTCTCTTCCAGCTATACATATGTCACATAATTGAGCGTGACGTCCTTATTGGAATTTGATAAGCAGAGATAAACCACTTGCACAGAATTTCACGTAGCTATTGGTCGATTGAAACGAGAGAAAAGTCATATGAAACATTAAAAGGGCATCTTACAGCAGATACGCTGCCTCGGTTTACAGCTGCTCATAATTTATTTGCTTCTTCCTTCCTGCCCGTTCTTCGTGCAGTACAGCCGAAAAGAGAAATCAAGCTGCTGAATATATTTCTCGCTCAGGAAGCTACCACCTGCGCTTTGGGGCAAACCTTGGCATGTGCCTTCTTTGTTTAGTATACGGGTCAGTTGGGTGCCAACTTCTCTGGTAGGCTACGTTATATCACCAGACATACGTTAGGGTGTAGAAGATGTTCTAAATGTAATATTTACGAGGTTCGACCAAATGTCTAGAAACATACGGAGCATCAAATAATACGATTTCGATTACAAAGCACACATTGTCGTGAGTTTTTCGTTTTAATTACAGCACAATTTTTTCCGAGTGTAAGAGAACTAATTTGACAATAACAAGTAATTTCATTGTTTTTCATTAATTTGTTGAACTTTTCTATTACATAATGACATTTGCATAAATCTTTAAATATATTACGCACGAATGAAATTTAAAAAATCGAAATAGATTATTAATTCGCAAATTTTCACTGTTTTTATTTAAAAATTTGTTCCCGTCGTGGAAGAAGATAAGTAAAATATAAAATAGAGGAAGCATTCTTATAATTCTTGTAATTCTCGAATCAGCATTGAGGCTGAAAGCTTATTGTTTCAACACAGGGGACTGTATGCTGAATATGGGTCGACATAAAAACTAAATTCTCGGTCAGAGCATCTCTACGGTACAAGGACGTTGCCTGAACTGGTCTTCACTCGATCCGGTTTTAATCATCCTTCGAAGGAAATCGTAAGTGAACCAGTAAGTAAAAAACGCACGATAAACTGGTCTTGACTCCGTTCCGAATGCGTAACAGTTTTATTCACGGAATCATTTAGCACACGCTCAAAATTGCACTCTACGTTTTCGTTTCAGAGTACTCTTACATACGTTACACTTTAATAACATATTTCCAATATAACAACTAAAACAGTTAAATTACAGAATGAATTACATATTTTGTTGCATAACACATTCATTATATGGATCAATCATTTCGATATTTAAAAAAGTTTTATTTTTTAGATATGGCAAATATTATTTTGTAAGATATCCCAGAATATATGTAGATTTAAAGTGGCTAATAAATTCTCAGAAAGGAAGCACTCGAAATAACGTGTCATTTTAAGCGCAATATATGATATCTCGAAAACAGCACGGCGAATTTAAACGTGCCTGAAACAACGCATTCTATTAGCTCAAATTTCACAAATGCTGTCAGCAGTTTAGCCCGAGGATTGCGGGAGAACTTTGACAATTTACGCTTACAGCACGTTGATGATGGAACACTGTCTCGTAAATTGAATTTGAAATTTGAAAAGATACAGCGCACCTAGAAACTTTTACATTACCGTCAGGTGTGCGAAAGTATATATATAAATAACACGGAAAATAAAATCGCGCGTGTAGCGGACGTGTTTTATTAATTTGTTTTTGTAACACATCGAGTCGTGTTTCGATACATTCCTCCAATCTCATTACCTCGCGAATAAAACAAATATGCGCGATGCATAGTGCTGTCAAGGATATCGTTTCGTTCGCACCGCGAATTCGATTCGCCGCGAATTCCGCAAAAAGAACACACCGCGGCAAGGCCTTTGCCCTTAACGCTTCTTTGCGTGCGACTGTACTCGCGTGAGTACATGCGCGGTATTCGTGTAGGTGCTGCTCGTACGAATGAGAGAAGCACCACTCGAAGAATACCTGCCACTTACATTCGTATGTAGCCGCGACCTTGGTGCATCGCACCACTGCACAGTGCATTGTCTCACGCAATAGCGTAATATGTACGCAGCTGAATGTGCGTGTGGTCTTTCTGATGTCCTAAATCGCGATTCGATGTCCAAGATTCGTATCAGTAGTCGTTTATTTGAAATTTATCTCACGTGAGATGTGCAGATCTGGATTCAGAGTTAGATCTGCAGTTTTTCAGCTGAACCACATGATATATCCCACACAGCACAAGATTTAAAAGATGTCCCAAAGACATTCAGAGGATTGCTAAATGTCCGCATAAGTCCTCAGAATATCCTAAAAATATTCCGAGGACTTCTAAATGTCCACACAAGTTCCCAAGATATCCCTTCAAGATCTTGTGTTATGAGGGATGCGACATTGTTGCGATTGCAATCGCGAATCCATTGAAGAATTCACATCCGATTCTAATCTTAAATCTGAATATCTCGCTTGAGACCAGTTTCAACTAACTGTTAATACAAGCATCAAAAGCACTGATACACATTTCGACAAGATGATTTATTCTCGTAAATACGTGCGAACCAAGTCACAAAGAAGGCCGTCATATCTTCATCTTCGGCAGTAAAAGCAGAATTAACGTTCCGCCAAAGACGCGTCTCGGGACACGTACACCCGTTAACGTTTCCAATATAGGCGATTGAGTCATCGATACGTGACATACGTACGTAATGTGCGTAAACAGAAATTTAGTGCACGCCACGAAGGACGGTCGCCATCGATTTCAAATACGGCACACGTTCATCGAGTGTTGAGCCAAACGTCCAATCATAATAATTATGTTCGCATAATCAATGGTCTGGGCGTAATACGCCAAGAGATAACGATAGAACGCTTATCTTTATCCACTTTTAAAGAAAGTATGTTGATATCTGAAAGATGATACCGCGCATTTATTTGCGAATCTTATGTATTAACATGAAAATCCGTCGAATCTTGTGCGAATGTATCGATACGAAAATTCGCTCTGAGAATGATTGCGTAGATTTTACGAAGTTATAAAAAAAATGTATATGAAAGTGCGGAAATGGTTTTTTTTATAAATTTACTTAATTAAAATGCAATATTCGTACATTTTAGTATTTCTCTCGCTTCGTGCGCGCATGGCAATTAAACGGAAACGCGTGCATCGAGTAAAGTGTGCAAACGCGGGGATATACAATATCGGAAAGCGAGCATAGATTTCTCCGTTTTGCCTTGCCGTATATATACACAGGAGGGAAGTTGTTATTAAGTAAATTCCTCGCATTCCTTTCGGTATAGCACTACTTTTCTCACGGAGCACTGAACATCCTTAGACGGTAGAAATGCAAGTAGACCATTTCAGCTGGCGTTTTTCGCGTTTATCTCCGTTTCCACGATGTCGTGTAACCACGTTCTTTTTTTACCATAAGTCCCAGCAGGACGAAAATAAATCTTGTTGGCACGGCCACCTCCGTCAAATCGCCCATTATTCCAGCCAATCGGATGAAAGCGGGCAGAGTATGGTCGAGGAAGTCGACCTCACCCACGAGTATGTTGCTCGCCTCGATATCGACTGGTATCATCCTCATAAAATGTAAGGTACGTGTACCAAAATCAATCGTTCGCAACAGCTCCCTGCATCATAACTTTGGCGAGAACTTCCGTTCTGGAATCCTTCAATGGAAGAGATTGTAAAGAGATCTGTTGCAAGTAATTGATATCACTATAAGTAATTCATTGTAAAGATTATTAATACCGTCATCCATCTGTCATTTTAAAATAATTATTCGAAAAGCGGAAAAATTAATTTGCGATTAAATGTATGACATGATAAGTTTTAATCACTTGACAAATTCTGGTTTCAAATGAAACCAGCCAGAGAAAGTAGGCAGCAAATTTAATGTATCGATCCAACACGTAGCGACTGTTCCCGAATCTTACAACGATGAATTTTTTTATCAACCTGTGTGAGCTCACATGTCGAAGTGAGCATACCAGTTTCGTTTCGAGAACGAGTTTCCGTGCCGTCGCGCAGCGAACAATGAGGACCAGCCGGGTGAAGGCATACAGAGAAACCTATAGCCTATATCCATCGAAGGTTCCATGACCTAAGGGGTACCTTTTTTGTTCCATGTAGGAAGCCTGTACGAGGCCTCGGAGAAGGTCGTCCGTTCTTCAGCGATCGTATCCGAAGCCGGAGGACGAGCGCGCACGAATTCCAGCGAAATCGACGCTTATACAATAGACTGTCTTAAGTTTATTTCTCATATTCGGGGTTAAAGAGACTTAGCCTTGGGGGTGAAACTTGGAAGTGATTTCAGGTTTAAGAATTCTTTCTTTCCCCTAAATTATAGATTTATCGCGAGAAGAAAAGTAAGGAGAAGTAAGAATTACTTGAACTTCTTTAAAACATGCAGCAGGATCTTTCTTGAAACTGTGTATTTAAAATTTTAACTTTGATCACATCGATAATCTCAAGTGAATTATACGATGTCCACGAAGATGCATACGACTATAATATAATAGCGCGAAAGTATAATATAATAGGCAGAAGAAAAAGCGGTTTTGAATTTCCGGGTTGATTCTTAGAACACTGTAATGACTGACATCATCTCCGGATTAGCCGGAGGAAGCGAAGGGCGAACGAAACGAGATCCAAATTTCAGTCTAGGTGCAACCTGAAATTTCCTCGTTACTCCGGATATTGTTTCTCTTGTCTCGCGTTTAAAAACTCATTAGTTTGAATTCCATTCTCACGTAACGTGAGAGAGAAATCTTCCTGTTATTTTAAAATAATTATTCGATAAGAAGCGGAGATACATCAGGTTGCTAGATATCATTGCTAAACACCGAATGGAATATTCGAGACATGCTTACTAACACGTTGGTGCTATACTTTCTTTTAAAGGTCCTGGCCCCTCGCATTATCTCTCTCTTTTTAATAACATCAGAAGCGAGAAAATGGATGCTAAAAATTCTTGCGAAATACGTTAAAATAAAAATATATATTCATAAAGTAATACTTGTAATTGATTAAACAATATGTATTTATAAATATATTTTCATAAAGTAACACTTGCAATCGATTAAACAAATTTTTAAGATAACCCGTGCACTTCCCTTTTGCTTTAACAATCAATAATTTATTGTAAATTAACTTGAATAGAAATAGGCGAAGAAATAGGTTAAGAAGATTAATTATATGTCACGTTAATTTACGATATATTATTGATTATTAGAGCAAAAGGTGCGCGGAATATCTTACAAATTTGTTTAATCAATTGTAAGTATTACTTTATGGATATATATTTTTATTTTAAAGTATTTCACAAGAATTTTTAGCATGCATTTTCTCGCTTCTGACGTCATTAAAAAGAAATAGACAATGCGAGAAGCTAAGAGTCTTAAGCATTCAGAGTAAAGAAAAGAAGAATGCGTCTTTTGCAAGTGTGCAAAAGACACATCCACGAGAAACGGGCACGTTCGGGATCAATTTCGATTGAAGTCTTTTGGGCTGCGTTCAAATTCCCCAACCGGATGTATTCTATTACTAGAAATGCTATAGTATATATAACATATACTATAGTGTTTTTAGTAATAGAGTGCACCCGGATGAGGAATCTGAACGCACCCTTAGTTGTTGCCTTGATTTTTATTGTTTTCTAGGGGAATTATTCTGATTGGAATCGAACGAGTCCATAATATGTACCCTGGTGGCGCGAATTTCATGGAAATCTCACGGCTCTCTCGCGCGAACGACCTTCTCTTCGTCAAGTCTCCGGGACCTAGCCGCCGTCTGACGTCACCTCCGGAGCGGGTCTGGAGAACGGAGGTCACGTGTCGCGCGCCACCAGACGAAAGCTCGATACGCGTGTGTGGCCAATGGGCGCGTCGCGGGCAACCCGACGGAGCGTGTTGTCGTCGGCTGGTCGCGGTTCCCTTCCAGTTGAGTCGCGTCCGTCGAAGTGTGAGCTTCGTCTTGTCACGACCTGCTGCCCGAGAGATCCCGCGGATTCTCGAACGCGCGCCTCTGTGTCATCGTGTGAAACACAGCCGGAAGCGAGGAGACAATGGCCTGCAACAGAGCCGCCAAGTCCGGATTTGCCGCCGAGGCGCAGAGAAAGGTAAGAGGTGATCGCGCGATACTCGCTCAACCGCTTTTCCGCTCGCTCTCTCTCTCTTTCTCTCTCTCGCGCGCGCGCTCGTTGGCACTCCTGCCACCCTGACCTAGTCAACAGCCACCCCCGGCAAGATACGTGGACTCGACCTACTGAGGGTGCATTTCCGCGCAGCCGCGGGTCGACGTACGAGTTCACGAGCAAGGCTCTGATGCCATCTGGCCGGGGTAGCAAGGTCACTCGGGATGAATGTGACAGAATATTTTTCAATTACTCGACGCTAATTGTCTCTGTAAAATTTAGCCGTGATAACTGGATTCTTCAACAGAAATCACGAAGTTGCTGAAATCGATGGCTATTATTATTATTACACATTATTGGAAAATAAAGGGATGGATCAATTAGATTGAACGCGATATCATGGAGTAATTCCAAATTGCGCAAAAACAAAAGCTAATCGTTATTATAAAATCATTTAAAGTGATATTTATTGTCTTTGAGAGATAAGAATCATGAAATTGACAATCGACAATCATCGATCGCATTATTGGGGAGTATCGCGTAGTGTCATATTGACCTAGTGATACAATTATTTCGACTGTAATGATTTATACACTGGCTCCGCGACGTGACTTCCGTGCAGGGAGATTCAAGATAAATTGAGCGCGGCAGGACACTCGAGGTGTCCTCGACAGGACGGAGAAGCTGCGGAATTGCGCGTGGCTTATCGTCGCAGACTTGTTCGCATTGATCGTGGCTAATGTAATAAGTCTTGCCCTTGTTAAATTGATGTCAATTAAATGTATCGATAATTTAGATCATTGTGCGACTATCATCGTTCGATGGCTCGAAGCGACAAAGTGACAGCAGTCATTCTAGTTTCAATTGATATAGTTGTTGCAAAAGAAATTTTGACGCAGAGATTTAGTATCGCATGACACAAGTCGCACGAGTGCCACGGTAAATATTGAAGCAGGCCTCTCTCATCCTTATATCCTTGCTAGTTCGTGTTTATATCATTTGTATACCAATAAACGTACGCGATTACACGAAAGAAAACCAACATGAGTGACAAAATAAGAGATTAGATATCTGTCAAACGATTTTGCGTCGCGTATCGCGCTTGTTTTACAATTGCGAATTTTCACAAAGAATCCCTTCATATTTTCTCCACAGAAATTCAGAAGAATTACCTCTTCTTATTTTCTTTGCATAAATTCATTTGTAGGCATGAGAGAAAAAAAACGCGCGTAAATACGTTCGAAGTGTCGCGATCGCTTTCGCACTAAACATCATTATTACTTTGATTCATTGAACACAGAAAACAGACTTTCAGCGAAAATTATTGACTGGCGCATTCTGCCTCATCTGAATGACGCGGGACGGGAGGAAGAGGAAGAAGAGGAGGAGGAGGAAAAAGCGAGGTTAATTATTCAGCACTCTAAAATTATAATAACCAAACTGGCGGAATTGAATGCGCCGCGCGATGCCTAAAAGTCGAAATTACAGACTGCTAACTGATGTGTAGATAATCGCGATAAGTAATCGCATACGATCTCGTGATAAACAAGCACCTCGCAAATATGTAATCAAGATCAGAGATAAGGAAAGTGGGACGCGGCAAAATTTGGTTTTATTTGAAAGCAACGCCCGTTTCACTCGGCGTACACGCGGTATCCCTCGACATTTTGCTGTTGACGGCACTTCAACGTGTTAAGTTAATTAACACTGGACGCACTCTGTGCGCGCCTCGCGGAACAGCCAGTCGACTCCATGTCTAAAATTTATAGTGAAATCCGTCAATTCGTATGCACAATCGCGGAGGGAAATTGGTTGGACCTCCAAAAGACACGCTCATCATTCCACATCACAGCTTTTCCCTTTCTCACCTCGGGTATCCTCAGGTATCCTGAGAAATCACGCGGGATCCTTGAGTCCGGGCGATGCGCGCGTTTGGTTCCGTAAGCGGCAACAGCTGCTAGGCGATCGTTTCCTTCGAGGGGAATTAAAATGAGATCCAGTTGCCGAAGAAGGGAGCGTCCCTCACGGAACCCGCTGGCCATGGTACACTTCTTCGTCTCTGTTCGCGCTCTTCACGATATAGTATACCTTCTGAAGCATTTCTCCGCCGCGGTGGCGGCGTGCGAAATTCTGCTATCCTGCAACGATGGAACCGATGGTGAGCTCTCGGCTCTCCCTTCACAAGCGCGCACCAGCGTGACCAACGCACAGGACTCGTTTAACCCTTCGAGAGAGGCGTTGCAGAAAATTCGTATGCTAATTTTATGGTGTTACTTGCGCAACCGCTGTGCAACATTGCGGAATGCGAAGTTCATTCGGGAACCGATCTTTACGGGAAGCCAAAACAAACGACCGCGGAAGGAGAATATATGTATATATATTTTGTTTTGCATAAGTTATTAATTTTTTATTACGTTCATCGAAAAAAGAATTAATGATATCACCAGTAATTAGTTGCAAATATGACGAGAAACGTCGTCTCTGTCTTTGACAGAATAGAAATTGCTGAGAAGGAAAAAATTACTTCGCGAATTGTCGCACTGCAGAACGTTCGCCTTTAGTTCGCTCGAGGTTTGTGGAAGAGCTCGCGCACTCATTACCAACCAAGATATGCTTATCGTCTGCGGAATGCAACACGAGCTGGCTCATTATACTTCACCGGTACGAAATCATTTGTCTCGCAACGTCGCGTTGTGTGCGTCAAGATTAACTGTGACCGTTGCACATTGAGAACCACGGATATGAAAGCTTCATAATGAGGAAGAGAATTTAATCTCTCTTTACAGTCGCACTATATCTTTCCATTGGAACTTTTCCTAGAATTTTGTTGGCAGATGCATATTTTTTAATGCTCATCGAAATAAACGCGCGTCATATTGTCTCGTAAAATTTTGCTAAAACGTAACCCAATAAAATGACACACATATACAATTTCGCGTACGGTCAAAAAATATAAATATTATAATTGTAAAATACAAAATAACATAAAATATATTTTAGAGTACTGTTTAATATTATATTTTATAAATATTAAAATATAATTAGAATACAAGATGTTTATTTCGACAAAAATTCTCGATAGTATAAATGTTGAATAAATGTCACTAATACTTATTATTAACGCATTTAGAGTCGGAAAAAATATGAACGCGCGATGCAAGACGCGAAATGCTGATTAACAGTAAATTCATCGTCACAATCGCCGGTGAATACACGACATCACAGTCCGAGCTGCAGCTGTGACTTCAAGGTAACGTTGAACATATAATTACCGCCATCCACGCGATAAATTGAAAGCCGCGAGCCGTGACCAACCTCCCATAATTGCTAGATTTTCCAGTTCGACGTCCTCGTCTGTTTGTATAAGCTAACGTAAGAATCAAGACGCGTAACGATTAAACACGTGACACTGAACGATAATATCATAGACGTTACCTTTCTCAAGCGAAAGAATCCATTTCATTTAGAAAAAGTTAAATCGATTTCCATTCATTAATATGAAAACGAATATTATCGCAGATATGACACGATCACTCTCTCAGCGCTCTTCGAATATTACAAGTAAAAGGACTTGTCACTCTCGAGCGAAGCAATCACTGTATACGGAGATAATATGATTGTTCTTTTCAAATTCTTTTCAATTTCATGTATTTAGTAGTCCAGGAATAAACTTGTCAATAAGGTCCATTTTGCTAAGGCACATAATAAATTTCGCTAGAAACATGGCGGACAGATTTCGCTAGAAACATAACAAGTATTTTAATAGCACACTTCAGTTCCTAAAATATGAGTAGCACGTATGAAACGGAAGGATAGTGAATTACTGCAGAATGTATCGATCTATTCTTCGGTTACGGAATCCCACAGTAACTTTTGCTATAAAATTCTCTTCGCACCACCCACTGAAAAAAAAAATACTTGAAAATTTATTTGTGTATGTATGTGTGTGAAACAAAAGTTTATTTTACAGAAATAAATTTTATTTTACAGAAATAAATTTTATTTTACAGAAATGAACTTTATTTCGCAGGAATAATTTATGTGTCACAAATAATCCGAGTCGAAATTTTTATGCTACTTTGACACTCTTAAGGATATTTTGCGCCTACTTAGACGGTTTATAGCCTAGATAAAACCTACTTTGATGATATTGATACTCATTAACTTCTCTTTTGAATCTTTTGAACTTTTAATTCTACCTTGTCAAAATTTTGACGCTATTTTGACGCTCTTAAAAAATAGTTTGAGTTACTTAGATAATCTACAACCTGGATGAAACCTATTTGACACGATATTGACACTCATTTCCAAGACGAAATTTTGATCCTATGTTGAACCTTGTAGGAATAGGAGCCAGGAACTAGGAGTAGAAGAACCGCAGTAGGAACTAAGATAGCAAATTAGGTTTAATTCTAATGATACAATTTACTGCTATTTTGATACCCTGATGATGTCTGAAATATATGCAACAAATAAAATGTATTTTGTATGCTATTTGACATTTTTCTGTTTCGTTATTTATAAAATTTTTTAAATATTTCTATAAAATATATATATTCTATGTAGGAGCTAAAGCTTCAATAAAGATTCGCAACTGAACCTACTTTGTTTCCTAAGATCCTATTATTATATAACCTACTTTGACGTTAAAGAAAACGAAAGCGGAAATTTCAGACATCATCAGGGTCAAAGTGGGAGTAAATTATATCATTAGAATTAAACATACTTTGCTATTTTAGCTTCTACTGCGGTGTAGAATTCAAGGTTCATTATAAGATCAAAATTTCGACTCGGGAAGTTTCCAAATACTTCTTTTTCAGTGCGTTCCTACACTGAATGACGCAAGTGTGCACCTTTATGATTTCACATTATGCGTTATCACACGGCACGTAATACACTTGGCAAGAATACTTGTAACAGATAACAAACGACTCATTTTTCTTAATATACATATATTTTTTTCTTACTTCAAAGCACATTATCTTTAAACGTTATCTTTCTCACGTTTTCTCGTTACTTCCGACAATTGGTGAAGAGCCTGTTTTTACTTATCTTCCCTACTTTACAAACATAATACGGTTTCGCTGTTATTTCATTTTATTGTAATCTTCTTCGAGGTATGATTTTCGATACTGCACGGTAAATATTGACAAACGTATACGTAACAGGTGACAAACGACTTATTTTCCTTTTTTTTCTTCTTTCAAAGTTTATTATCTTTGGACTTCTCACGTTTTTTCGTCATTTCCGATAATCGAAGAAGAAATGTCTCCGTTTATATTTCCTATTTTACATATAGTACAATATACAGTATTTCGCTATTATTTTATTCTATTGTAATCTTCCTTGAAATATGACTTCACGGCGGCTCACCGATGGTAGATCCCCTCACGGTCTTCTGCGAATACCAAGCCCATACGATGAATGTGCGGTATTATGCCCGTATTCTAAAAATAGAGATGCTTCATCCCCGAAGAGGATATCTGTATTAACGGCCGGAAGTAACATAAAGTAGTTTCCGTTCTACGCGCGAATGGCGGAGAATAAGGATTCTCGCGCGTAAAAGGCGCGCGTTCTTACGCGTCTCTCGACGCGTGCGACAAACAGATTGTACGATTCGTCGCGATCTTTTTCATACCAAGATTATAACCACGTCAAGCTCGTATAATAATTACCTCAAAGAGTTCATGTAGATAAGGAAGAAACTAAGTCACTCGGCTATTAACAAGTCAATCACTGAGTCACTGAGCATAATCAAGTCAACTGGGAATTAAATCACTGGTAATTTACATTTTTGCAAAATTTTACATTCGATCGTTTACGCGATACAATCTAATAAAATCATCATAACGTTCTGCCCTTGAATAATTTTGCAAGGGAAAATAGCTCCGAATTGCTCAAGGAGTTCGTAGACGGCGGATATACATGAAGCTGCAGCACGCTGTTTACACACGAAGTGCCTCGCGAGACGTGTACTAAACTCTTCGGGAGAACAATAAATATATAATTTCAAGCGGGAAATATATGCTGTGACAACATACACGCGATCGTCGATCGTCGTGCTAAGAGGATCTCCCATCGTCGTGGCAGCTCATCCTCGAGACAGACGCAAGAGCTGTCGCGACGCGCGCGAATACCACGCGGCGTTTAATCCTGTCGCGCGAATCGTGAGATACACATTTATTCGCGGAACTCCATAATCGCGGCTCGACATATCGTTTACGCGAGATATTAAGGCCGATCTACATTGGTCGTAACGTCGTGACATCGCAAAATCGTAGCATCATAATGCTTATGAGTAGTACAAAAGTATATACTTTTAATGATGAGTATGATTACTTTTTGTGCTATATATATTTTTAAGTAATACGACTCTAGCTCGTCGCTGATTGATTGATCGTAGCAATCGTAGTGTCGTAGAATCGTTGAAGTTTGATTTTACCAAACTTCTACGACTCGTCACGACGAATCGCACGATGCTTACGACGCTTGCGACACTACGATACGACCAATGTAGATCGGCCTTTACAGCTGATAGACGCATTACCGCGCCGGGATCGACTTCGGAGCACATTAACACGTGTCAGAATTACAGCACGGACGAAACGGCCGCGGGTGTGTATGCCTCTCCGCTTCGCTTATTCCCTTAATCCGACGTCGTTTGACACGCAGGAAAAACATTATAATTGACCGCTCTCGCAAACGGCCGCGGACACGAATCCGCGCGAGAGAGTAACGCGACTATATCGAGAGAGTGTTGCCGTGCAACACTCGAGAGAGAGTTGCCGAGAGAGTGCCACGAATCGCCGTTTCCATTATCACCAGTGAACGTAACATTGCAACGTCTCAAATTGTTTATTCACAGCTCCTTGCACGCGAGAACACTTCGCGCTACTCTCCGCGATTACGGCCCGGGGCTCGTTACCGCTAAACTCAGGAGGATACCGCGACCTACTCGCTTATTCGTGTCGGTACTTTACCAGTTTACGACACGAGCAGCCAACCGACTACTAGATTAAGAAGCACGTTAATTGCGGAGCGAACTCGTCGGATCGGAACATCGAGAAAACGTGACAGCCGGGACACCGTCCTCCTGAAAACTTTCTCCGCGTTGTGTGACTCATTTCAGCATAACTTCTTCCTTATGTCATACACGTTGTCGTGTCGACGTGACGAGCGCGCATAGGTGGCTTTTAATTGTCGATGTTTCGCGGGCGAGTGCTTTATTACCTGAGTAAACATTATTATCCGCTTTCGAACGGGTTGGTCGTCGGCCACACCCATGACTTCGCACGAGCGCTCCGCACTTTGATCGCGAAGTATGAATTTTTGACACTCGACAACTGCCACGCGTCGCGGCAACGTTGTCGTGACGATATCGCATGTCGAAGTTATTCCCGAGACTGATTATTCAACATATTTCCGTTAGAGGAAGAGACGATCGAGGAAAGACGTCTCCTTCGATACTCGAAACCGCAGGTCGTGTGTCTCAAAGAGTTTCTTCCCGACTGAGAAAGAATACTTGAACATTTATTTGTGCAATACAAAGTTTATATTATCAAACAATATACAAAGTTTATTCATACAAAAATAAATTTTATTTC